CTCTTTCCTTTATAAATTACCCAGTCTCAGGTATTTCTTTATAGCAATGTGAGAATGGACGAATACAACTATAAATTTTGATTTCCTGAACATATAAATATTTATATCTGCTATGCCCATTCTCCCCATCTTGTGCATGCTTTTCCTACATCTGTGCCGTAGATCATATGGCCATTACAGACTGTGATCTCTCCCTTTTGAGCCTCAGTTAACCTTGTTCCACCAAGTAACTACATATTAAATCTAACTAATACTTAAGTCAGTGTCTCTCTAGTTATTTTGTTTGCCCTAAGCTTGTTTTCTGGTAGAGTCCTTAGGAAGTTTTTCATGGAAGCAATAGTCTCTGAATTACTCAAGTGTACATTATACTGGAAGACCAGATCTGCTGATTCTGACAAAATTCTAGGCTTTTTTTTTTTTTTTTTTGGACAACCTTAACTATGTTATTCCACTCTTCAGGGATTAAAGCATTAATGTAGAAAATCTGATAATAAGCTAGTTTTGTTTTCTTAATATGTTAAGTGACCCCTTTTGTGTCCGGAATTTATTCCTTCCAGTGGGTTCTTGGTCTCACTGACTTCAAGAATGAAGTTGTGAACCCACACGGTGAGTGTTACAGTTCTTAAAGGTGGTGTGTCCAAAATTTATTCCTTCAAATGTTCAGATGTATCCTGAGTTTCTTCCTTCTGGTGGTTTCGTGGTCTTGCTGACCTCAGGAGTGAAGCGGCAGACCTTCCCAGTGAGTGTTACAGCTCTTAAAAGGGGCGCCTCGGGAGTTGTTTGTTCCTCCTGGTGGGTTGGTGGTCTTGCTGACTTCAGAAATGAAGCCACAGACCCTTGCAATGAGTGTTACAGCTCATAAAGGTAGTGGCCACCCAAAGAGTGAGCAGCAGCAAGATTTATTGTGAAGAGCAAAAGACCATCGCTTCCACAGCATGGAAGGGGAAGGAGCAGGTTGCAGCTGCTGTCTGGGGTGGCCAACTTTTATTCCCTTATTTGTCCCTGCCCACATCTTGCTGATTGGTCCATTTTACAGAGTGCTGATTGGTGCGTTTTTACAGAGTGCTGATTGGTGTGTTTATAATCCTTTAGCTAGACACAGAGCACTGATTGGTGCATGTACAATCCGTTAGCTAGACACAAAAGTTCTCCAAGCCCCCATCAGATCCAGAAGCTCAGCTGGCTTCACCTGTCACTTTTGCCTACATGTCCAATGGATTTTTAAAAATAAAATTAAGTACTTTTAATAGTAAATGACTATGGTTATTCTCGGGTGGTATTTGTAGGACTCAGTGTATTTAGTATGTGGGTTCAAATAGTTTTTGTTTCACGAAAGTTTCTTTGAACTATAGTTTTTATTATTTGTTATATGTCTTTTCTTTAGTTTTCTTCCTTGGGGAACTCCTTTTAAACATATGTTGAATTTTTATTGCCTATCTTCAAGATTTTTCACTTTTTTCTGAAATATTTCTGTTTATCATTTTGGATTATGATTTTTTTTCACTCTTCTACTCTTAAGGTGTTGTGTGTTGTGTTATTTTTTCTTGTGTTCCTTCTAGGTTAGTCTTTATTTCTAAAATGTTTTTCTTCTAATTTTTTTGAGTTCCGCTGTCTCATTATTGAATGTGTCTATCTATGATTCATGGGTTTAAAACATGCCTTTTACTTTTTTCTTAAATTTCTAGATGGTTTAGAAATAGTTATAGTTTTGATATTTTTGGTGTCTTTTCATGGTAGGGTTGTTATTCTGCTCCATATTTGTAGTTTTCTTAAAGTAATTTTGTTACTTGAGATACTTTTCTACCAAGTTTTCTTTGTGTGAAATAAGTTTCCTTAACTTTCAGAACCTTGCACAAACATCCTTTGCAACGTTAAAGAGCTTCCTCTTCAGTTTCCCCTAGTGTAAAAAGGAGTGGTGGTCTGGGCTCTGCATTCTCCTGTCTCTCTTCACCTCCCTTCTTTTATTGAGACCCTCTCCTTCCTTCATGCATGGTTTCTCTGTCCTTCTCATTCTGATTGCATTTCCAGCATTTTCTCCCGGGTGGAGGGGAGGGGAGGGGAGAACGGGTCAGTTTTACGAGTTCCCAGGTCACTGTGGTGTAGCCTTGCTGGGACTCCTGGGGTCTGGCACTCACTGTCAATGAGCGAGCACGGCCTCCTGGATTCATCCATTGGTCTCAGCTCCAACCCCTCTCCTTTCCCATGGACACCTATGGACTACCACTGGATTCTGTTCTTGGATCTTCCTTTTTGCCTTTCTTTCCCATGCAAACACTGATGATAGGCCCGTCTTGTGTGGGAGGTAATTTGTCCCCATCTACTTTTATTTTGGAGTCTGTGGAGATATCTTAGCACCTAGTTTTACTGTAAAAATTGACCACAGATTTTTTGGTTTGGGCAACTAAGTGCTCTGTTTTTATGTGTGGATTTGGGAAAATAAAACAACCAGGCTGATATCACCACCACCACCACCTTTTAATTTAAACAGATGCTTTCCTAGGGAGGATCATCGTTTCTAAAAATTAAAAACAAGAATTGGCCTAGAAAATGTGCCAACAAAAAAGTCCCCTCTAAAGGACATGTTTCGTGTCCAGATAGCTTCACTGTTAAATTTGTTCAACATTTTTAGGCCAATGATTCCTATGAAATGTAAACTTATAGAATAAAACAAAAATTAAAAATTGCCAAACTCATCCTATTTAGAAAACATCTTTATTTTCTGTTTATAAAAGATTCAAATATATAAAATAAACTTTATACATTTATAAAAAGAAAAAGTTATAAAGTCAAACCTGCAGAAGTTTGTAAAAAGAAAAACGATGATCCCCAGTGTATTTGTTGGGGCTGTCATAACATGGTACCATAGGTGGGTGGCTTAAAAAGCAGAAATTCATTTTCTCACAGTCCTGGAGACTAGAAGTTCAATATCAAGGTGTTGGCTGGGTTGGTTCCTCTGAAGGCTATGAGGACGATGTGTCTCATGCCTCTTCTCAAGCTTTTGGTGGCTTTTTGGTAATCTTTGGCATCTCTTGGCTTGCAGAAGCATCACTTGATCTCTGCCTTCTTCTTCACATGGCGTTCTTTGTGTGTGTTTGTGTGTATGTTTTTGTCCATATTTTCCTTTTTGATAAGACACTAGTCATGTTAGATTAGGAACTCACCCTCCTTGGTGAGTCCTATAAAAAAGGAAATGTGTCTTATCAAAAAGGAAATCTTGACTAACAATCTTCAATGACCTTATTTCTAAATAAATTCATGTTCTGAAGCACTGGGGTTAGGACTTCAGTGTATGAATTTTTGTGGGACACAATTCAACCCATAGCATTCAGCAATCCATTTTTTTTTCCCCTTAACATTGTGGAACAACTAGAAATAAAGTATATTTGCCGTTTGCTAAATCATCTTCTGAGTTTTGTTTACTTCTCTCTTATTAGTTTGGTGACTATGCAGCCACTGTATAGGTCTTCACACTTCTCAATATTCATGCTCATTTTCCTCCCTGACAGAACCCTCTTCTTGTTGAGGAACATAAATATGGTTGGCTAAAAGACTGTATTTTTCTACCTTCCCTTGCATTTATGTGTAGACAATGGGATATAAGACAACTTAAATGAACGTTTCTCCCTTTTCCTTCTCTTTTCTCTGCTTGGAAGCAGACATGATGGCTGAAGCTCCAATGCCCATCTTATGAACATGGGATGATTTTGAGATTAATACCATAGGCCGAAAGGAAAAACAGACAGAATAAGCCTGTATTTCTATACCAATTTGAACTGAAGTAGCCTTGGACTCCCTATCTCTAGCTTCAGTTTATTTGGGAAAAAAAAAAAAGTAAATCTCTTAATGTGTTAAACCATTACAATTTTGGTGTTCTTTTAGTATCAGCTAAACCTAATCCTAGCTGACACAGACATATCAAGTAATATTCTTAAATCCATATTCCTTAATTCATCCATTTTAAAAATGAAACTGAATCTATTGATTTCTCCCATGAAAGATGAACAAATCAGCACATTTTCCTTATATCTCCTCTTTCTCACCGGCATTCATCAGTTGGCTGCATCCACCTGCTGACAGAGTCTGGATTTTATCCCAATCCACAATCATCAAATTATTTATACATTATTTATCTTTTATTTCAAGAATGTTATAATAGCATGTCATGGCATTTTAACTCTATTTACCCCCAACTGTTTTAACTTAACCTATGTTTTTTTTTTTTTAATTTTAAATTAATTATTTAATTAATTTTTTTTTTTTTAGATGGAGTTTAGGTCTTGTCACCCAGGCTGGAGTGCAGTGGTGTGATCTCGGCTCACTGCAACCTCTCTTTCCTGAGTTCAAGTGATTCTCCTGCCTCAGCCTCCCAGGTAGCTGGGATTACAGGCACCAGCCCCCATGCCTGGCTAATTTTTTGTGTTTTTTGTAGAGACTGGGTTTCACCATATTGGCCAGGCTAGTCTCGAACTCCTGACCTCAGGTGATCTGCCTACCTCGGCCTCCCAAAATGCTGGGATTACAGGCATGAGTCACTGTGCCCGGCCAATTTATCTTATGTTTAATAGAGTTCAATGTTCACTATGATTTCTTTCATACAAATGATTTCCGCATTTGTGATTTAATCTTTCATTTGGTGTCATTTTGGGGTTGATTTATTGCAGGTGTTTGAAATCGGAAAACAAGTGAGGCTTAATCAAGATAGGAGTTTATTTCTCTCTCCCAAAAGAAGTCTGGAAGCAGGCAGGCCCGGGCTGTGACTGGGTCTTCGTGAACTAAGTCCTAAAGATCTAGACTGGTAGCCCTCTGGCCTCCTCAGAAGAAAGAGAGAGACGGAGGACAGGCCTCTCCCTGGGAAAAACTGCCCGGAAACCCCTCACAGCACTTCTTGGATTCCTTTGGACAGAACTTGATCAACATGGCAACAGCTGAATGAAAGGGAATTTGGAAAGTGTCATTTTAAGTCTGGCTGGCTCTGTGCCTTCCTCATTTCAGAGTCCCGTCCCTGACGAAGCAGGAGACACAACCAGCAGACTCTGCCACAGTCTTCGCGTATATATCCCATGTGATGCCTTTATCCTCAGTCCTTGGAAAGGTAGGAATGTTTTCTTTTTCCTTGCCAATAAATGATGACTCGTAAAATTGACATGGAATACTTGCAAACCATTTTTTTTTGTTACTACTGTGCGAGCATAGCTTCATTCTTTTGTGGGATCCAGTCCTGCTGGGGTACCTGAGGCTGAAATTTTCTCTGAACTGCTGGTGATTTGTTCTCATGTCGAGATGCTGAAGGATTCTTCTTTTATATTGAATTAAGCAATGAATTCTCTATTAATTTTACTGGTAGGATGGGGTGTTTTCTTTTTTTCCAAATCTACAGATTCATTTGTTGTTGTTGTTGTTTGTTTGTTTGTTTGTTTTTTTCCTGGAAAGTTTTCTCATAGTAAAACTGGATATTTTTTGTTACCTCTGTTTTATTTTCTTCTTCAGGAACAATTTTGAACATATTGGTTTTCTTTTATTTGTCCTTCATGTAATTGTTTTGCACATTTATTTTATCTGTTTGGTTTTCCACTGCTTTATCCACAGATAAATGGTCGATGTTAGGTCTCAACATCGTTAATTTTAAACAGCATCAATGATACATTCTGTGTCAAATATGGCTTCCAAATTTTGTCACAAATTTTGTCTTTTTTTAAATTTCCCTTATCACCTCTGAAAGTTTATTTTTTATCTTGTTCAGAGTCCTATCATCTCTTTTTTTTTGTTTTTATTTTGAAATAATCTCCTGCTTGCAAAAATGTTGCAGGACTAGTACAAAGAGCTTTATTTCTGAACAATTTAAGTTACGACACAATGCCCATGAGCCCAAATACTTTAGCAAATATTTCCTACAACCTGAGACACTCCTCTACATAATGCCAATACAACCATCAAAATCAGAAAATTAACATTAATATAGTATTATAATCGAACCTACAGACTCGATCCAAGGTTCCCATCATTGCAATAATGTCCTTTCTAGTAGGAGGATTCAATCCGGTCCACACGTTGAATTTAGCTGTCCTACGTTTTTAGTTTCTTTCTGGCTGGATGTCTTCTGTGTTTTTTCTTGTCTCTCAAGGCCTTGACATTTTTGTATGTTAGAGGCCTATTGTCTTAAAGAATGCCCCTCCTTTTGGTTTTGTCTGATGATTAGACTCAGATTATGCAATTTTGGCGGCAATCTCACGGAAGTGACAATGTGCTCCTTTCATGCATCCTACCACACATTAGGTGGTTGCAGTTTGTCGAATTACTGGTGAAGTTAACCTTGATCACTTGGTTAAAGAGGTACCTGCAGATTTCCTCGACAGCATGGAGGCGTACTGGGAGTGTGGACTGTCGCATTTCTCTTGAGCTTTCACCCACCAATTCAGCATCATTGGCTGAATTCTTACAATGATTAATCAATTTTTTTCCACTGATGGAGGAAGAAAACATTCTCCATTTTCCATTTATTTACTCATTTACTTATCTCAGCATGGACTCACGGATTCCTACTTCGGGAGATAGTATCACTATTTCCTTGCTCAAATTGTCCGATGTGGCCCCTGCTATCCCCTTCATGACATGGCCAGTGGTAGCCCTTTGTGCTGGTTTCTGTACGGTCTTCTCATCATTGTGCTGAGCACTTCCTCACATCTGGAATGACAATGAGTTCCAGGGTCATCTTGAAGGTTCCCTGCCCTAGTCCCAAATCCACCATTTCCCCATCGAGTATTTTTTTTGTGTGTGTGTGTGTGTTTAGTTTTTGAATGTAGGGAATAATATTTGACAGTCAACATGTAATGCTTTCATCATTAAAATATGCATATTGCCTAAAAAGTAAAAAGGATTGGTATTCAAACTGGGCAGATAACAATAAAGTGAAATATTCGGCAGGTTGAAAGCAAAATCACAACAGACTCTAGCTCAAAACAAAATGAATCAATTCTGCTAATATTTGCATGTTGGTGCTGCACATGTCCTTACTCTCTATGTCAAAGTAAGAAAATTAATATCCATATGGGCTTTTTAAAGTAAAGTGTTTTGCATGGATATCGATCAACCGTAAAAGTCATTTGTTGAAGCAAAAGAAAAAATCATTAAGATAACGAAGAACTAGAACTTTATATTGTACACTGGGACAGCACTTGGTAACTGCAACACAGAATGATGCCTTCCACTCATGAGTGTGTATGTGTGTGTGTGTGTGTGTGTGTGTGTTTGAGAGGGAGAGAGAGAGAGACAGGATCTCACTCTGTTGCCCAGGCTGGAGTGCAGTGGTGCAATCTCAGCTCACTGCAGCCTTAACCTCCTGGGCTCAAGTGATCCTCCCCCCGCAGCCTCCCGAGTAGCTGGGACTACAGGCACGCCACCACTCCCAGCTAATTTTTGTATTTTTGGGGAGACGGGTTTTCGCCATGTTTCCCGCTTGGTCTTGAACTCCTGAGCCACTTTTAAACAAACTTTTAAAGAACTACCTCCAGATTCAGTATCAGCATCTGTAAAGAAAGCTCTAGCAACAGGAATAGCTTCTGCCTCTCCCAGCCTGCTGATTGGGAGCCCTCCTCATGACAGCTGTCATACCCTGGTAGCCTCTACCAGTCACCCATGTGACAAGTGATACTTAAGTCCAATTTATGCAACACCATTTGACTAGTTTTGGCAATACCAGAACAGAAGTGCTTGATTTTATCCATTTATGCTTTCCATCTTCATTAAGAGAATGTGGTCAAAGGATGGTGGTCTTGCGTCACTCCATTAAGATAATGATTTGTAGAAAGTAGATATCAACCATTTCTTCTACAAACAGATTGAGCATAAGAGGAAATTATTTTAGCTCTGGCAACTCTTGACCAGCAGAAGATAAAACCACTTCAGAGAACCAAAGCTTAATATCAGCGACATTGAATAAAGAATTTAACAGAGTTAAACCCTGACTTCAGAGAACCAAAGCTTAATATCAGCGACATTGAATAAAGAATTTAACAGAGTTAAACCCTGAAGTAGTGGAAGACTTTCTGGACTTCATTGCCAATATCCTGAGGTTAAACATCACCATTTGGGTTTAAGATGACGCCCAAAGGTTAGGAGCTGGTCAGTCAACTTCCCTACCCCCGCCGCCCACCTACCCCAAGGCCGCTTCCTCCAGGATGCCCTCCCTGATACGCATGGATACATGCCTCTCCCTTCCTGTGCTTCTTGTAGTCTCTGAACACTGCTTTACCATCATCACATCGAATTATACCTTGTTTCCTAAACATCTGTCTTCCCAGAGAGATACAAAACTCCTCATAGCTAAGGAAGAAATCTGTTTCATTTTTCTTTTCCTTTGTGGAGCACAAAACTTGGCATATAACAGCTTCACCAAAATGCAGTTTGAAGGAAACTTTCCTTTCTTAATGTTTCCTTAGTACTGTTTGTCCCTCTAAATGTGCATTTATTTTATACTGTTGGTTTAGGGAGTAAATATGTTTCTCTTGTCCATTGAGTTGTGATCTTCTCGAGGACTGGATTTTATCTACATCTTCCTATTCTAGTATATGCTCAATACTCTTTTCACTGGATTAAATTAATAGCTTTATTTTTCTAAAGATTTTAGAGATAGTATTGATTTAGCTTGTGTTCTTCCATCTAGTGATTCTTTCAGATAAAAAGGGTTGTTGATTCTTGTTGGATGGATTAGGAGAATAGATTATTGATCATGGATCTCTCTAGCAAAACCAAAGGACAGACTTTAGGAGGATTGTATCAACACCTCCATCTTTTTTTTTTTTTGTTTTTTTGAGATGGAGTCTCGCTCTGTCGCCCAGGCTGGAGTGCAGTGGCCGGATCTCGGCTCACTGCAAGCTCCGCCTCCCAGGTTTACGCCATTCTCCTGCCTCAGCCTCCCTAGTAGCTGGGACTACAGGCGCCACCACCTCGCCCGGCTAGTTTTTTTTGTATTTTTTAGTAGAGATGGGGTTTCACCGTGTTTGCCAGGATGGTCTCGATCTCCTGACATCGTGATCCGCCTGTCTCTGCCTCCCAAAGTGCTGGGATTACAGACTTGAGCCACCGCGCCTGGCCAACACCTGCATCTTATCCACATTTTGGGTTTTCTACTGACTGGCAAAGAGACACCCTTACTACGTGTCGTTGACTCACGGACTTTAGATTGAGCCCTATTTGGGCAGTGGCCCAGGGAGCTGGGAAGGAGCAAGAAGGAAAGAGTCTAGCTTCTAATTAAAATTCCCCAGTTCTGTGCACCTGCATAGCTTCCAACCCGATATCCCATTTCCTAAGACAAGTTGGGTCACTTACTCCCCTCTTAGCATCCAAATACTCACAGCTCTTCTTTTGTGATTTCCTTTCCTTTCAGGGCTGCTTAATTTTTTTTAAAATTTATTATTATTATTTTATTTCCATAGGTTTTTAGGGAACAGGTGGTATTTGGTTACATGAGTAAGTTCTTTAGTGGTGAATTGTGAGATTATGGTGCACCCTTCACCCGAGCAGCATACACTGTACCCAATTTGTAGTCCTTTATCCCTCCCCGCCCCCCGCCCCCGCCCCCGCCCCCTTTTCCCACATCCCCGAAGTCCATTGTATCTTTCTTATGCCTTTGCATCCTCAGGGCTGCTTTTAAAGTTCCCTTGAGGAGATCACATTTGTAGAGTCAGAGAACTAGAAAAGTTGTTTGCCCCAGGCCTCCTGTATCCAAGGCTAATTCCCACAAGTCAGGTCCTAGTGTAACTAACAGGTTGTTTCAGATCTAAACATGAAAACTGCAAAAACACTTTTTCAATTTTTTTAGGTGTGTTCGCCTGGGTAGTTATAGTAATCAGTACCTACAAGTGTGTGTTTCGCAAGGGCCAGGTGCCTTCCCTCTCTGTGTGTGTATTCATTGATAGATAAACCTATATTCACCTATATTCTGGTTTATAGTGGTATGAAATTTTATATGCATACATATATATGCATGTTGTCATTTAATAATTGAAGCTCCCCTATGAGGGAAGCACTGTCACCCCTGTTTTATAATGAGAAGATGGAGGCCTGGAGTGATTAAGTAACTAGTCTAAGAATATT